TGGCTGCACTGGGCCTTTAAAAAGTTGCATTGTTTACATTGGTATTGTAAGTTCATACATTCACTGTGTACCGGTGTCCTAGCTAGCTAGTTAGCTACTTCCCTAGCCGCACTACATTAACAGAACTGCGGGAAAACAGTGCTCGGCAGGCAGGGGGCGACGGACACTGTGTACCATTCATACATTTATTGTGTTTTAGTTTTGACCTAAAGTGCATTGTCTGTTGTTTGGACGCTATCCTCTTTTATATTAAACAGAAAGAAGTCTTCCGCTTCCGTCTCATGTGCCAGGCCTGGAAGTGACGTTTACATTTTTACATTTTAGTAATTTAGCAGACGCTCTTATCCAGCGTGACTTACAGTTAGTGAGTGCATACATTTTCATACTGGTCCCCTGTGGGAATCGAATCCACAACCCTGGTGTTGCAAGCGCCATGCTCTACCAACTGAGCTACACGGGACTACACTGGCATTGGAGAGGGGGAGAGGGGCCTGAGAGATGAGGGGTCTTAGAGATGAGGTCTCCAGTAGGTGCCAGTATAGAGAGGGGCCTGAGAGATGAGAGGTCTTAGAGATGAGGGGTCTTAGAGATGAGGGGTCTTAGAGATGAGGTCTCCAGTAGGTGCCAGTATAGAGAGGGGCCTGAGAGATGAGAGGTCTTAGAGATGAGGGGTCTTAGAGATGAGGGGTCTTAGAGATGAGGTCTCCAGTAGGTGGCAGTATAGAGAGGGGGCCTGAGAGATTAAAGAGTCCTGAGAGATGAGAGGGTCCTGAGAGATGAGGTCTCCAGTAGGTGGCAGTATAGAGAGGGGCCTGAGAGATGAGAGGGGGCCTGAGAAATGAGGTGTCCAGTGGGTGGCAGTATAGAGAGGGGCCTGAGAGATGAGAGGGGGCCTAAGAGATGAGGTGTCCAGTGGGTGGCAGTATAGAGAGGGGGCCTGAGAGATGAGGTCTTCAGTAGTAGGCAGTATAGAGAGGGGCCTGAGTGATGAGGTCTTCAGTAGGTGGCAGTATAGAGAGGGGCCTGAGTGATGAGGTCTCCAGTAGGTGGCAGTATAGAGAGGGGCCTGAGTGATGAGGTCTCCAGTAGGTGGCAGTATAGAGAGGGGCCTGAGAGATGAGGTCTTCAGTAGTAGGCAGTATAGAGAGGGGCCTGAGTGATGAGGTCTCCAGTAGGTGGCAGTATAGAGAGGGGCCTGAGTGATGAGGTCTTCAGTAGGTGGCAGTATAGAGAGGGGCCTGAGTGATGAGGTCTCCAGTAGGTGGCAGTATAGAGAGGGGCCTGAGAGATGAGAGGGGGCCTGAGAGATGAGGTGTCCAGTGGGTGGCAGTATAGAGAGGGGCCTGAGAGATGTCTTCAGTAGGTGGCAGTACAGAGAGGGGCCTGAGTGATGAGGGGCCTGAGAGATGAGGTCTTCAGTAGTAGGCAGTATAGAGAGGGGCCTGAGTGATGAGGTCTTCAGTAGTAGGCAGTATAGAGAGGGGCCTGAGTGATGAGGTCTTCAGTAGGTGGCAGTATAGAGAGGGGCCTGAGTGATGAGGTCTTCAGTAGGTGGCAGTATAGAGAGGGGCCTGAGTGATGAGGTCTTCAGTAGGTGGCAGTATAGAGAGGGGCCTGAGTGATGAGGGGCCTGAGAGATGAGGTCTTCAGTAGTAGGCAGTAAGAAGGGGCCTGAGTGATGAGGTCTTCAGTAGGTGCAGTATAGAGAGGGGGGCCTGAGTGATGAGGGGCCTGAGAGATGAGGTCTTCAGTAGTAGGCAGTATAGAGAGGGGCCTGAAGTGATGATGGTCCGTCAGTAGTAAGGCAAGTATAGAGAGGGGCCTGAGTGATGAGGTTTCAGTAGGTGGCAGTATAGAGAGGAGGGGCCTGAGAGATGAGGTCTTCAGTAGGTGCAGTATAGAGAGGGCCTGAGAGATGAGAGGGGGCCTAAGATATGAGGGTGTCCAGTGGGTGGCAGTATAGAGAGGGGGCCTGATAAGATGAGGTCCTTCAGTAGTAGGCAGATATAGAGAGGGGCCTGAGTGATGAGGTCTTCAGTAGTAGGCAGTATAGAGAGGGGCCTGAGTGATGAGAGGGGGCCTGAGAGATGAGGTGTCCAGTGGGTGGCAGTATAGAGAGGGGCCTGAGAGATGAGAGGGGGCCTGAGAGATGAGGTGTCCAGTGGGTGGCAGTATAGAGAGGGGCCTGAGAGATGTCTTCAGTAGGTGGCAGTACAGAGAGGGGCCTGAGTGATGAGGGGCCTGAGAGATGAGGTCTGCAGCTGGACCCAATGGTCTGGTCACAGCTGAGATGTGGGGGTGTAATCAGAGCTATGTGCCCCTAGACATCACATAGGCCTACTCAAACTTGTGCTGGCTGTTGAGTGGGGACTTTCAACATAATATGCATTTTCACTGCATTCTCAGTCCCCCTTTTGTCCTCAGTGCCTTCTTTGGCACTGTCCATTCCAACACAGCTGGATTTTGTGTATGCAGCGGCCTTATGGACCTTGCAGCTGTGCATCAGACTGCAGATTTAACACACACACACACACATTCCTGGTGTTAAATGATTTCAGGGATTTAGGCCTACTTGTTCCGGATATAATGTCTCAAGCGGTCTTCCATGTCTCAAGCAGTCAATGGCATGACGATTAAAATGCACAGAGTGCCCTCTACTGTCAGAAACTCCCAATTACAGCAACATAATGTTGCCGCTGGCTGGGGTGTTGATCACCAGAGATGGTAACATGATGTTAAGGTTCATAAGCCCTTTATATGGTTCATAAGCCCTTTATAAGGCCTACATAAACGCTTCACAAATCATGTAAGTAAAGTTATGACACATTTGGCAAAGCATGGGTGAATTACTGGTGTTGTACAAGGCAATGTGACAGTACCATAACCGTAGAAATAGAATCTCATTCTAGTTCTGTGACCAGCACTCTGGGGCCATCATTCTGGGGCCAGCACTCTGTGACCAGCACTAAGTGACCAGCACTCTGTGACCAGCACTCTGGGGCCATCATTCTGTGACCAGCACTAAGTGACCAGCACTCTGTGACCAGCACTAAGTGACCAGCACTCTGTGACCAGCACTAAGTGACCAGCACTCTGTGACCAGCACTCTGGGGCCATCATTCTGGGGCCAGCACTCTGTGACCAGCACTAAGTGACCAGCAATCTGTGACCAGCACTAAGTACAGCACTCTGTGACCAGCACTCTGGGGCCATCATCTGGGCCAGCCTCGTGACCGCCTCTGTGACAGTTGGGTCATTGGACACACAGGTTTCGCCATTCCACTAACCTTGGGAAAGCACATCACACCTTTGCCAGTGACCCCAAGTCTAGATCTTAACTCAATCAGGTGGAAATGACTTTGAAGTTGGTCTTTCGCATGCAATCTAGACCTGACGGAGTAGGAACAGATGATGGCGAGTTGTTACAATAATGTAGTTAATCTTATGGTTGGGGATTGACGACTGAGTTGGGGTTGATCGTTATTGACTTAATTGCATTGATGGACATTTACTGATGATACTATGGTGATGATGAGGTTGATGAGTAATTGGTGACTATGGTAGGTTGATGTTGGTAATGGATGGTGAGTGAGTGGTGATTGTGATTGATAGATTGGTTGATGATCTTTTAATGGTAGTGCTGAGGAGCCAAAGGGAGAGTACCTAGTAAGTGCTGGAGCAGATATGAGGGTAGTGTGGACGAAATGGTGGTGGGTGGCCTGTGAGCAGATAAATTGACTAGAGGTTCCTGCAGCAGAAATGGAGAGAGGAGAGGGCTGGAGGAGCAAAATGGAGAGGAGAGAGGGGCTGAGGAGAAGAAAGATGGGGGAGAGGCGCGAGGTAGAGAAATGAGAGAGAGGGCTGGAGAGAGAAATGGAGAGGGAGGGCTGGAGGAGAAAAATGGAGAGAGAGGGCTGGAGGAGGAGAAATGGAGAGAGGAGGGCTGGAGGAGTGGAAATGGAGCTGAAAATGGAGAGAGGCTGGAGGAGAGAAATGGAGAGGAGGCTGAGGATGAGAGATGGAGAGAATGGAGAGAGAGGGCTGGAAGAGAAATGGAGGAGGGTGGAGAGAGTGAGAGAAGAGGGCTGGAGGAGAGAAATGGAGAGGGAGGGCTGGAGGAGAGAAATGGAGAGGAGGGCTGGAGGAGAGAAATGGAGAGAGAGGGGCTGGAGGAGAGAAAAGGAGGGAGAGAAAAGAGAGAGCTGAGAGGAGGGAGAGAATGGAGAGGAGGGAGAAATGGAGGAGAGGGGAGGGAAATGGAGAGGAGGGCTGGAGGAGAGAAATGGAGAGAGAGGGCTGAGAGAGAAGAGAAATGGAGACGAGGGAAAAAATGGAGAGAGGGCTGGAAGAGTGAATGGAGAGGAGGGCTGGAGGAGAAAATGGAGAGAGAGGGCTGGAGGAAGAAATGGAGAGGAGGGCTGGAGAGAGAAATGGAGAGAGGGGCTGGAGGAGAGAAATGGAAGAGAGGGCTGGAGAGAGAATGGAGAAGGAGGGCTGGAGGAGAGAAATGGAGAGAGAGAGGGCTGGAGGAAAGAAATGGAGAGGAGGGCTGGAGGAGAGAAATGGAGAGAGAGGGCTGAGAGAAGGAAATGAGAGAGAGGGCTGGAGGAGATGAAGTGAGAGTTAGAGAGGGGCTGAGAGAGAAATGGAGAGGAGGAGGAGATGAGAGGGCTGGAGGAAGAAATGGAGAGAGGGCTGGAGGAGAGAATGAGAGAGAGGCCTGGAGGAGAGAAATGAGATGGAGGGCTGGAGGAGAGAAATGGAGAGAGAGAGAGAGAGAGGGCTGGAGGAGAGAAATGGATAGGGAGGGCTGGAGGAGAGAAATGGAGAGAGAGGGCTGGAGGAGAGAAATGGAGAGAGAGAGGGCTGGAGGAGAGAAATGGAGAGAGAGAGGGCTGAGGAGAGAAATGGAGAGAGAGAGCTGGAGGAGAGAAATGGAGAGAGAGAGGGCTGGAGGAGAGAAATGGAGAGGGAGCTAGAGAGAGTAAAGGAGAGTGTAGATGCAGAAATGCATGAAGACACTGAATGTTCTCTATAAACTGCTGGAGAAGATACAAAAGGAGGGAGAGAAGCTTTTGGAGAAGGGTGACGAGAGCGCAAAGGAAGAAATGAAGACGAGGATGAAGGAGGTAGAGAGGAAGGAGAAGGCGGGATCAAGGTAGAGAGATGTGGTGGAGGAGGAGATCCAGAGGGTGAGGAAGGAAGACAGAGAAATGAAGAAGAGGGAGGAGGTAGAGATGAAACACAAGGGTCTGGAAAGGTGCAACTTAGGTAGAACTCCAAGTGATTCAAGGTTGCTGCATTAATGTCAGGGGAACATAGCAGGGGTTAATGACTTGAAATTCCACATGATTATTGCATTTCCATTTTAGTGTGTTGCACTTGCTTTCAGCAGCATCTATGAGTCACATGATTATGAACCAAGGACACAGTTGGTTCCTGATGTTGTGAGATTCTCTCTGGTGTTTACAGAACAACTGGTGCTGTGAGATTAGGATATTATGATTCAAGGATGCTGTCAGGATTTGGATATCAGGACCTGCTTAGACAAAGCAACTGTAACAGTAGTAGCAAAGGATGCAATATATGTGAAAATGTATGGCTGCTACATGATGCATGGAATGCTAAGGCATAAATGTGTTAAAGCGTGTATTCTTATTCTAAATGTACAGTTGAAATCAGAAGTTTACATAAACTTAGGTTGGAGTCATTAAAACTCGTTTTTCAACCACTCCACAAATTTCTTGTTAACAAACTATAGTTTTGGCAATTCGGTTAGGACATCTACTTTGTGCATGACACAAGTAATTTTCCCAAAAATTGTTTACAGACAGATTATTTCACTTATATCACAATTCCAGTGGGTCAGACGGTAGTCTGCTGTCCCCAGCGTCTAGCTAGCCATGCCTTGCTAGTGCCACCTACTTCAGCAAACAGGCTAACGACATGGCTTTTCCCACAGAAACGACTATTAGTTACCATCCCGGTGGAGCAGAGAGATGTCTTTCCAAAAGGGAAAGAACCCCTCTTCCATCAAAGTTCATGGAAAAGGATCAATAGGTGGGATGGAGAATCAGGTAACTAGCTAGAAGCTAATGTTATCAAACTAACATCTGCTGTCTGATGAAATCCTGCCTTTTGAAAAAGAGTGTTGCAATGATTGAACATGATGCACTGTTTTCCTGATCAGGCCAAATTGTAGTAGCTAGCTAGCTATAACAAGGTCTAGCTAAATTATTTTTGTTCTCTGCAAAATGAAGAAAATGACCCGGTCTTTGTCTTTCTCAGGAGGAAGGCGTTCACAATAAGAGGTCCACATCTTCTCCACAGGGTGGCGTAAAGAAAAGATCTGCCTTCGTTGACATCACCATTGACCAAGGGTTTTCAACTGTGGTGCTTGTGGATGTGTAAATTGATTCTGAAAATAACCTGTGGTTAAACTGTTGCCAATATTAATCTTTCAACAGGAGACATTTTCAAATATATATTACATATTTCAAAATATCGCATTTATAACTACAGATTCCACAGCGATTTTGTAACTCATACTTGGACAAGCAATATTATATAAATATTTCAGAAAATATCTCCATTATACCAGTTGAGGATGTACTGGAAATGTCATAACGTACAAACACTGCACACCTGACACTGTTTCAAAGCAGTTTCCGGAATCATTGAGGGGATTAGATTAATCTGGCCTGGGTAGGCTTGACATAATTAAGCACTTTGAGTAATGCGTAGAATTCTGTGTTTTCACATGCAAAAGTGATTGCTTTTGATAAATGCTTTATCTGCCTTCCCAATGAAAACAACTAGTTTGAAAATTCAAACATGTTTTATTGAAAATATATATTGCATGTGTCTAGACGATGCACAATGCTGCCTTGTTGACAACAGCACTGCAGATTACTGTTCGATTTGAGAAGGGCGCTCCTCCCTCGCCGTATTTGCCCGTTCATGTCACGGGCAATAGACCAGTGCCCCGTGGTTTAGCATGATCGAATAATCCCATTATTAGAGTTTTGAATAAATAGCTGATTTCTGGGAAGGGGCCCAAAGCCATTGTAAGAGGGTGTTGGTCAATACTGAGCGCTGCATCACAATAATAAATTGCCAAGAGTGGGACATTTTTCCATAGATGTTTGTTTTTGTCTTGATCCCAACCCTTCCTAATATTGAGTTGCCCCCACTTTTGCCCACAGAACAGCCTCAATTCGTTGGGGCATGGACTCTACAAGATGTTGAAAGCATTCCACAGGGATGCTGGCCCATGTTGACTACAATGCTTCCCACAGTTGTGTAAAGTTGGCTGGATGTCCTTTGGGCGGTGGACAATTCTTGATACACATGGGAAACTGTTGAGTGTGAAAAACCCAGCAGCTTTGCAGTTCTTGACACAAACCGGTGTGCCTGGCACCTATTACCATACCCCGTTCAAAGGCACTTAAATATTTTGTCTTACCCATTCACCCTCTGAATGGCACACATACACAATCCATGTCTCAATTGTCTCGAGGATTAAAAATCATTCTTTAACCTGTCTCCTCCCCTTCATCTACAATGATTTGAAGTGGATTTAACAGGTGACATCAATAAGGGATCATAGCTTTCACCTGGTCAGTCTGTCATGGAAGGAGCAGGTGTTCCTAATGTTTTGTACACTCCGTGTGTATATATTTAATTATTGTTGTGTAATTTTTAAGCAGCTTTGATCCTATAAATGTTGCCAGTATGTGTAATGAATGGTGTAGCACTGCTAGATTGGTACCCTATTTACTGCTAGATTGGTACCCTATTTACTGCTAGATTGGTACCCTATTTACTGCTAGATTGGTACCCTATTTGCCCCTTTAAAATGTAGACGTGTCTTCTGAGGAAATGTAACAATCTGAATGGTCATAAAGATTTACTGTTGTCTCTCTCATTTACCCGTTTTGAATAGGCTACCAAGATCCAAATGAACAACCAGACCAAGATTGAGAAGCCTGCCAAGAAGGCACTTAGGAGCAAAGAAGCTGCCAAGAATGAAGCTAATCTGAAAGAGTAATGTTTCTCAGAGCCATTTCTTCACCACACTGATCATCACTCACTGAAAGCTTAAGATCTAGATTGGATAGAATGGGTTCGACACGGTCACTGACGAGGTGACACAAAATGCCCATTTCGGTTTCTCATTGTGGAGTGGAGCAAGTGGCTCGGATATCTTCTAGTTAGAACACACAGAAAACGACCGGAGGTCTATCCGATAGGGTTAGAATTAGATCAGTCTACTCTAATGGGATAATTATCTGACTAATGAGCATTTGTAATGTTTCCATCAACTAGGATGTCCATTAATTTGTTCAGTTCAAAACAGCCTAAACTACTGTAGCTACAGTGCATTCAGACCCCTTGACTTTTTCCACATTTTGTTACGTTACAGCTTTATTCTAAAATTGATAATATCGTTTTCCCTCTCAATCTACACACAATACCCAATGATGACAAAGCAAAAACAGGTTTTTAGACATTTTTGCACAAAATAAAAATGGAAATATCACATTTACATAAGTATCCAGACCCTTTACTCAGTACTTTGTTGAAGCACATTTGGCAGCGATTACAGCCTTGAGTCTTCTTGGGTATGATGCTACAAGCTTGGCACACCTGTATTTGGGGAGTTTCTCCCATTGTTCTCTGCAGATCCTCTCAAGCTCTGTCAGGTTGGATGGGGAGCGTCGCTGCACAGCTCTTTTCAGGTCTCTCCAGAGATGTTCGATCGGGTTCAAGTCCGGGCTCTGGCTGGGCCACTCGAGGACATTCAGAGAGTTGTCCCGAAGCCACTCCTGCGTTGTCTTGGCTGTGTGCTTAGGGTCGTTGTCCTGTTGGAAGGTGAACCCTCGCCCCAGTCTGAGGTCCTGAGTGCTCTGGAGAAGGTTTTCATCAAGGAGCTCTCTGTACTTTTGCTCCGTTCATCTTTCCCTCGATCCTGACTAGTCTCTCAGTCCCTGCCGCTGAAAAACATCCCCACAGCATGATGCTGCCACCACCATGCTTCCCCGTAGGGATGGTGCCAGGTTTCCTCCAGACGTGACGCTTGGCATTCAGGCCAAAGAGTTAAATCTAGGTTTCATCAGACCAGAGAATCTTGTTTCTCATTGTCTGAGAGTCCTTCAGGTGCCTTTTGGCAAACTCCAAGCGGACTGTCATGTGCCTTTTACTGAGGAGTGGCTTCCGTCTGGCCACTTTACCATAAAGGCCTGATTAGTGGAGTGCTGCAGAGATGGTTGATCTTCTGGAAGATTCTCCCATCTCCACAGAGGAACTCTGGAGCTCTGTCAGAGTGACCATCGGGTTCTTGTTGCTCAATTTGGCCGGGCAGCCAGCTCTAGGAAGAGTCTTGGTGGTTCCAAACTTCTTCCATTTTAAGAATGGTAGAGGTCACTGTGTTCTTGGGGACCTTCAATACTGCAGAAATGTTTTGGTACCCTTCCCCAGATCTGTGCCTCAATACAATCCTGTCTCGGAGCTCTACGGACAATTCCTTCGACCTCATAGCTTGGTTTTTTCTCTGACATGCACTGTCAACTGTGGGACCTTTTATATAGATAGGTGTGTGCCTTTCCAAATCATGTCCAATCAATTGAATTTACCACAGGTGGACTCCAATCAAGTTGTAGAAACATCTCAAGGATGATCAATGGAAACAGGATGCACCTGAGCTCAATTTCGAGTCTCATAGCAAAGGGTCTGAATACTTATGTAAATAAGGTACTTGTTTATTTTTAGTAAATCTGCAAACATTTCAAATAAACAGTTTTTTCTTTGTCATTATGGGGTATTGTGTGTAGATTGATGAGGGGGGGAATAATTTCATCAATTTTAGAATAAGCTGTAACGTAACAAAATGTGGAAAAAGTCTAGGGGTCTGAATACTTTCTGAATGCACTGTATATCAGATGTCTCCATTTTGTGTTTGTATATGTTCTCTCCCCAAAACAGCTAAAACCTTTCTTTCTTTTTTTTGTAGGCCTAAAGCTGTGTGCTCTAATGGGCAATCTAAGAAGTTGGAGGTGGGCCTATCCCCAGAGAAAGACCTGGTGGTATGGCCACAGGAGGAGACCGCTCTATTCCCAGGGAGACCGGTGAGAGACAGACACACATCCATGCTATCAGCCCTCTGGGTTCAACAAGGCAGTCATTCTCCTCTGCCTGTGTCCTATTCCCAGGTGATGCCTGACGAGTTTGACATTAACAAGGAACTCCATGGTGACGTTTCCATGAGCGCCGAGTATGCCAAGGAAATATTTGACTACCTGAGGGCGAGAGAGGTAAGTTGTTGTCTTGGGGCGTTTTAATATGGTGGAGGATAATACATCCTCTGAATGAAATGTTATAATTTTTCTTCAGGAGAAGTTTGTTTTAAAGGATTACTTGAACAGTCAGCCGGACTTGAACAAAGACATGAGAGGGATTCTGGTGGACTGGATGGTTGAACTTCAGGTTAGTTTTGGTTCCAGATAACTTTGTTTGGTTGGCTGATTGATTCTCATCACACCAACATGTGTTTTGGTTATACAGTGAGGGAAAAAAGTATTTGATCCCCTGCTGATTTTGTACGTTTGCCCACTGACAAAGACATGATCAGTCTATAATTTTAATGGTAGGTTTATTTGAACAGTGAGAGACAGAATAACAACAACAAAGTCCAGAAAAACGCATGTCAAAATGTTATAAATTGATTTGCACTTGAATGAGGGAAATAAGTATTTGACCCCTCTGCAAAACATGACTTAGTACTTGGTGGCAAAACCCTTGTTGGCAATCACAGAGGTCAGACGTTTCTTGTAGTTGGCCACCAGGTTTGCACACATCTCAGGAGGGATTTTGTCCCACTCCTCTTTGCAGATCTTCTGCAAGTCATTAAGGTTTCGAGGCTGACGTTTGGCAACTCGAACCTTCAGCTCCCTCCACATATTTTCTATGGGATTAAGGTCTGGAGACTGGCTAGGCCACTCCAGGACCTTAATGTGCTTCTTCTTGAGCCACTCCTTTGTTGCCTTGGCCGTGTGTTTTGGGTCATTGTCATGCTGGAATACCCATCCATGACCCATTTTCAATGCCCTGGCTGAGGGAAGGAGGTTCTCACCCAAGATTTGACGGTACATAGGCCCCGTCCATCATCCCTTTGATGCGGTGAAGTTGTCCTGTCCCCTTAGCAGAAAAACACCCCCAAAGCATAATGTTTCCACCTCCATGTTTGACGGTGGGGATGGTGTTCTTGGGGTCATAGGCAGCATTCCTCCTCCTCCAAACACGGCGAGTTGAGTTGATGCCAAAGAGCTTGATTTTGGTCTCATCTGACCACAACACTTTCACCCAGTTCTCCTCTGAATCATTCAGATGTTCATTGGCAAACTTCAGACGGGCCTGTATATGTGCTTTCTTGAGCAGGGGGACCTTGCGGGCGCTGCAGGATTTCAGTCCTTCACGGCATAGTGTGTTACCAATTGTTTTCTTGGTGACTATGGTCCCAGCTGCCTTGAGATCATTGACAAGATCCTCCCATGTAGTTCTGGGCTGATTCCTCACCGTTCTCATGATCATTGCAACTCCACGAGGTGAGATCTTGCATGGAGCCCCAGGCCGAGGGAGATTGACAGTTATTTTGTGTTTTTTCCATTTGCGAATAATTGCACCAACTGTTGTCACCTTCTCACCAAGCTACTTGATGATGGTCTTGTAGCCCATTCCAGCCTTGTGTAGGTCTACAATCTTGTCCCTGACATCCTTGGAGAGCTCTTTGGTCTTGGCCATGGTGGAGAGTTTGGAATCTGATTGATTGATTGCTTCTGTGGACAGGTGTCTTTTATACAGGTAACAAGCTGAGATTAGGAACACTGCCTTTAAGAGTGTGCTCCTAATCTCAGCTCATTAGCTGTATAAAAGACACCTGGGAGCCAGAAATCTTTCTGATTGAGAGGGGTCAAATACTTATTTCCCTCATTAAAATGCAAATCAATTTATAACATTTTTGACATAAGTTTTTCTGGATTTTTTTGTTGTTATTCTGTCTCTTACTGTTCAAATAAACCTACCATTAAAATTATAGACTGATCATTTCTTTGTCAGTGGGCAAACGTACAATATCAGCAGGGGATCAAATACTTTTTTCCCTCACTGTAGCTGCCCTAACACATTCTAGATCTGAACGTCTACCTCTGCTCCTCCTTCAGGAAAACTTTGAGCTGAACCACAAGAGCCTTTACCTGGCGGTGAAGCTGATGGACCACTACCTGGCCTGCAGTGTCGTCATGAGGGAGAGCCTGCAGCTCATTGGCACCACAGCCATGCTCATCACGTCCAAGTTCGAGGTGAGGCCCTGAGGGGTACGGGACTGGTCAGAGACCTGAACACCAGAATATTTCCTCATGTTGCTTAGAAGCTTAACAGTTCTGACCTAATCATGAATTGCTATTAAAGTGAAACATTATCCTTCCATTAGTAAGTACTGAGTATTGTTGTCCTCCCTTAGGAATGCACTCCGCCTTGTATCAATGATTTCATGTACATCTGCGCCTACAAAAGGAAGAGATTATTGCCATGGAGATAAACATCTTGCAGGCACTGAAGTTTGATATACACATTCCGGTCCCTTACCACTTTCTCCGACGCTATGCCAAGGTGAGACCTTCCTTGTCCTTTGGCAGTACTCAGGAATGTATTTTGAAACACTTCACGCTTCAGAGGTCTCCCATTTTTTTTAAAAAGGAGATGTATTCGTTGATATGCTGTGTTAGTAAATAGATGGACACATGATTGATTCTCCCTCCTCTCCCCAGTGTGTGAGGGCCAGTATGGAGACTCTGACGTTGGCTCGCTATGTGTATGAGCTGAGCCTTCTGGAGCTGGAGCAGGTTCCTGAGAGAGGCTCTCGCCTGGCTGCTGCCTGTCTGCTCCTGGCCCTCATCACTAAAGGCCTGGGAGGATGGGTGAGTGTACAATCAGCTGCTATAATCACGCCAACTCTTCCTTTGTAAACACCAATCCCATACTGCATGGCTCCCATTAATGCTGATTGCCATATCTCATTTAATTTGGGTTCTCGGTAAAGACTGATCAGCACAGACACACATGATAGTTTAAATGGAAGAATGGCAGATGGAAAATACATTGGATATCTCTGTGGATTCAAGCTATGCTGAACAAAAATATAAACGCAACCTGTAAAGGCCCATGTTTCATGAGCTGAAATAAAAGATCCCAGAAAAGCTTTTTTCTCTCAAATTTTGTTCACAAATTTGTTTACATCCTTGTTAGTGAGCATTTCTCCTTTGCCAAGATAATCTATCCACCTGACAGGTGTGGCATATCGAGAAGTTGATTAAACAGCATGATTATTACACAGGTGCACCTTGTGCTGGGGACAATAAAAGGCCACTAAAATGTGCAGTTTTGTCGCACAATACAATGCCACAGATGTCTCAAGTTTTGAGGGAGTGTGCAATCGGCATGCTGACTGCAGGAATGCCCACCAGAGCTGTTGCCAGATAATTGAATGTTCATTTCTCTACCATAAGCCGCCTCCAACGTCGTTTTTAGAGAATTTGGCAGTATGTCCATCCAACCGGCCTCACAATCGCAGACCACCTGTATGGTGTCGTGTGGGCGAGCGGTTTGCTGATGTCAACGTTGTGAACAGAGTGCCCCATGGTGGCAGTGGGGTTATGGTATGGGCAGGCATAAGCTACGGACAACGAACACAATTGCATTTTATTGATGGCAATTTGAATGCACTAAAATACTGTGACGAGATCCTGAGGCCCTTTTTTTTCTATAGGTATCTGTGACCAACCAACGCGTATCTGTATTCCCAGTCATATGAAATCCATAGAATAGGCCCTAATACATTGTTTCAATTGACTGATTTCCTCATATGAACAGCAACCTGGTAAAATCAATGAAATTGTTGCGTTTTTATATTTTTGTTCAGTATAGTTAAACGCGCATTTCTATTGAATAAACTAAGTTAGTCTATTCCTAGAAAACATTGAACCGCTGTAGTTTACAACAATTATAGTTTCTGAGGTGGAAGTTGGGAGAGTTATATTTGGGTTATTGTAGCCATTTTCTGTAGCCTGTCAACTATGCCTCTGTCTATCCCTGTTCTCTCCACACCTCACACCGCGTGGCTGCTGCCTCTCTAACCTGGTGGTCCCTGCACGCACGACCCACGTGGAGTTCCAGGTCTCCAGCAGCCTCTGCAACTGCCGTTCTGCGGCCAACAAGGCAGAGTTCATCTCAGCCTATGCTACCCTCCAGTCCCTCGACTTCTTGGCGCTGACGGAAACCTGGATTACCACTGAAAACACTGCTACTCCTACTGCTCTCTCCTAATCTGACCATGTGTTCTCGCATACCCCGAGAGCATCTGGTCAGCGGGGTGGTGGCACAGGAATCCTCATCTCTCCCAAGTGGACATTCTCTCTTTTTCCCCTGACCCATCTGTCTATCTCCTCATTTGAATTCCATGCTGTCACAGTCACTAGCCCATTCTAGCTTAACATCCATGTCATTTATCGCCCTCCAGGTTCCCTTGGAGAGTTCATCAATGAGCTTGACGCCTTGATAAGTTCCTTTCCTGAGGATGGCTCACCCTTCACAGTTCTGAGTGACTTCAACCTCCCTACGTCTACCTTTGACTCATTTCTCTCTGCCTCCTTCTTTCCACTCCTCTCCTCTTTTGACCTCACCCTCTCACCGTCCCCCCCTACTCACAAGGCAGGCAATATGCTTGACCTCATCTTTACTAGATGCTGTTCTTCTACTAATCTCACTGCAACTCCCCTCCATGTCTCCGACCACTACTTTGTTTCCTTTTCTCTCTCGCTCTCCTCCCACACTACTCACTCTGCCCCTACTCAGATGGTAATGCGCCGTCGCAACCTTTGCTCTCTCTCTCCCGCTACTCTCTCCTCTTCCATCCTATCATCTCTTCCCTCTGCTCAATCCTTCTCCCTCCAATCTCCTGATTCTGCCTCCTCAACCCTCCTCTCCTCCCTTTCTGCATCCTTTGACTCTCTATGTCCCCTATCCTCCCGGCCGGCTCAGTCCTCCCCTCCTGCTCCGTGGCTTGACGACTCATTGCGAGCTCACAGAACAGGGCTCCGGGCAGCCGAGCGGAAATGGAGGAAAACTAGACTCCCTGCGGACCTGGCATCTTTTCACTCCCTCCTCTCTACATTTTCTTCATCTGTATCTGCTGCTAAAGCCACTTTCTACCACTCTAAATTCCAAGCATCTGCCACTAACCCTAGGAAGCTCTTTGCCACCTTCTCCTCCCTGCTGAATCCCCCCCCCCCCCCCCCCCTCTCTGTGGATGACTTCGTCAACCATTTTGAAAAGAAGGTTGACGACATCCGATCCTCGTTTGTTAAGTCAAATGACACTGCTGGTCCTGCTCATACTGCCCTACCATATGCTTTGACTTCTTTCTCCCCTCTCTCTCCAGATGAAATCTTGCGACTTGTGACGGCCGGCCGCCCAACAACCTGCCCGCTTGACCCTATCCCCTCCTCTCTTCTCCAGACCATCTCCGGTGACCTTCTCCCTTACCTCACCTCGATCATCAACTCAAAAAAAAAATGTATGCACGCATGACTGTAAGTCGCTTTGGATAAAAGCGTCTGCTAAATGGCATATTATTATTATTATTATAACTCATTCTTGACCGCTGGCTATGTCCCTTCCGTCTTCAAGAGAGCAAGAGTTGCACCCCTTCTCAACAAACCTACACTCGATCCCTCCGATGTCAACAACTACAGACCAGTATCCCTTCTTTCTTTTCTCTACAAAACTCTTGAGCGTGCCGTCTTTAGCCAACTCTCTTGCTATCTCTCTCAGAATTACCTTCTTGATCCAAACCAGTCAGGTTTCAAGACTGGTCATTCAACTGAGACTGCTCTTCTCTGTGTCACGGAGGCTCTCCGCACTGCTAAAGCTAACTCTCTCTCCTCTGCTCTTGTCCTTCTAGACCTGTCTGCTGCCTTTGATACTGTGAACCATCAGATCCTCCTCTCCACCCTCTCCGAGTTGGGCATCTCCGGTGCGGCTCACTCTTGGATTGCGTCCTACCTGACCGGTCGCTCCTACCAAGTGGCGTGGCGAGAATCTGTCTCCGCACCCATGCTCTCACCACTGGTGTCCCCCAGGGCTCAGTTCTAGGCCCTCTCCTATTCTCGCTATACACCAAGTCACTTGGCTCTGTCATATCCTCACATGGCCTCTCCTATCATTGCTACGCAGACGACACACAACTAATCTTCTCCTTTCTCCCTTCTGATAACCAGGTGGCGAATCGCATCTCTGCATGTCTGGCAGACATATCAGTGTGGATGACGGATCACCACCTCAAGCTGAACCTCGGCAAGACAGAGCTGCTCTTCCTCCCGGGGAAGGACTGCCCGTTTCATGATCTCGCCATCACGGTTGACAATTCCGTTGTGTCCTCTTCCCAGAGTGCGAAGAGCCTTGGCTTGACCCTGGACAACACCCTGTCGTTCTCCGCTAACATCAAGGCGGTGACCCGATCCTGTAGGTTCATGCTCTACAACATTCGGAGAGTACGACCCTGCCTTACACAGGAAGCGGCACAGGTCCTAATCCAGGCACTTGTCATCTCCCGTCTGGATTACTGCAACTCGCTGTTGGCTGGGCTCCCTGCCTGTGCCATTAAACCCCTACAACTCATCCAGAATGCTGCAGCCCATCTGGTGTTCAACCTTCCCAAGTTCTCTCACGTCACCCCGCTCCTCCGCACACTCCGCACACTCCACTGGCTTCCAGTTGAAGCTCGCATCTGCTACAAGACCATGGTGCTTGCCTACGGAGCTGTGAGGGGAACGGCACCTCCGTACCTTCAGGCTCTGATCAGTCCCTACACCCAAACGAGGGCATTGTGTTCATCCACCTCTGGCCTGCTGGCCCCCCTACCTCTGCGGAAGCACAGTTCCCGCTCAGCCCAGTCAAAACTGTTCGCTGCTCTGGCATCCCAATGGTGGAACAAGCTCCCTCACGACGCCAGGACAGCGGAGTCACTCACCACCTTCCAGAGACACTTGAAACCCCACCTCTTTAAGGAATACCTGGGATAGGATAAAGTAATCCTTCTACCCCCCCCTTACCCCACCCCAAAGAAAGAAAAAATAAAAATAAACATATTGTAAAGTGGTTATCCCACTGGCTATAAGGTGAATGCACCAATTTGTAAGTCGCTCTGGATAAGAGCGTCTGCTAAATGACGTAAATGTAAATGTAAATGTACCCCAGACACCCATCCTGGAGTACCACACTGGCTACCCTGTGAAGGAGCTAACCCCCCCTGGTGAAGATGCTGCGCTCCATGCTGGCCTGTCCTACTGATGACAAGCTGACAGCCGTCACTACCAAGTATTCCCACAAGTAAGGCACCTTGCTCTGTTGTAGGTGACAGACATACCCTTTCACGGGGGAAAATATACTTGCTACGATTTATATGTTGCTGTCTCACCTCGCTATCTTAAGATGAACGCACCAATTGTAAGGTGCTCTGGATAAGAGCATCTGCTAAATGACTAAAATGTCAAATGTAAACTAGAACAAGGAAAACCAGGGGTTCTCAATCTAGACGTAAGTGTTTTAGTTGCATTCTATGTCCAGGAAGAAAACATGTATTTATTTAAGAATCTCTTGTATTTCAGAGTGTTCTTTGAGGTAGCATGTATCCCCTTGGTGGCTGTCCAGACACTAGAAGATGCTCTGAAAGAGCAACAAGTCTCCTAAGCGAACCGCCGGAGAGGTACTCTGTCTACTAATAGTGTAAATAGGTTATTTATTTGTATGTCATATTTGTTGTCTCCTTGTAGAGGAACATTTTTACAAATCAGCGAGAGCACAACCTGTTGAATTTGTTTCAGTTGTTATTTCTACACTTAATACAAAATACATGTGATGGGAACGATGTGAAAAAGCCAATAGGGTTTAACAATCTGTTTTTTATGTA